ATAAACATTCTTTGGAACCACTCTGAGGCAGAGGTAAGAACAGGAGTCAGCCTGGTCCTACCTCAGCACTTCTGTTTCCAAAAAAGAAGCCACAAGACTTTGCTGCCAGCCTGCCCGGCTGGTGTTTAATACTGCTACTCCATCAGGGTTGGAGGGAGACCTATTGTGAATGGCAACAGTTTGCACTGTGACTTCTCCAACTGTGCTGCAGAACAGTGCAGGTGTCGCAGAAGGGCGGTGGGACATGAAGGCTCAGACCCGTTACCAGTCAAACCGTCTCAGCAGCAGGGAGCTCCTATCAGGAGAGAGCAACAACTCTGTGCACAAAGCTCTTGCTCTCTGTGCTTAAGGCTGAGGCAGTGACCCTTCTGCACTCTCCCCAGGTTTCAGAAGATCACCAGACAGAAATACATGTCAGTTATAAATACATCATGTCAGTTGCAGGGGATGGAGGTGGGATGGGGGCCACAGGGAGGGGAGAATTCAGAATGGAGAGAAAGGAAAAAGACATCTTACGTTTCCAGCACTGGAAAGAACAGTTTTGACCTCACGCAATAAGTCAGCGGACCTTTTCAATAGTCTTATCTGGCTTATGCACCATCATCTTTAACACATCATCAAAGGGAGTGTTGGCTGGCAAAGGGTTAAACAATCCCACACAGTGGAGAGCAAATCTGCAGTCTGCTGGGAAGGTCCCAACCACGTCACTGATGATCTCAGGTCCAACTTGAAGGAAGGAAGCAGCTTCTCAGCCTCACACGTCACTCAGGGCCTGGAGACAGCCAAAGACAATAAAGTGTCAGGATGGACCTCCTGCAGCTCTCCCAGTCCTTAAAAGACACATGGCTCTGAAACACAACATTTGCCTTCATCCCTAGGACACTCTGAGGAGGTTTTTTTCTGGAACCTGCAGTTGCAACCCAGTTAGGAGATGACAGAATGATCATCCTTCAAGGCAGCACACTGAACCACAATACATCATCCTTTCTCTACCCTCTGGTGCGTGCCAGAAACCACAACCACATTTTATCTGCCTTTTGGAGCTTTCCAATGGGAAACAGTAGTTCTGCAACTTAGTGAAGTAGGAGTGATCTGCCATCAAGGCATGGGACATCAACCCAAAGAACAGTTCCAAACTGAACTCCAGTCTTCCCAGACTGACTCATACTCCGCTATGTCATATTAAAGTGCTAAATGCTGCCCTGCTCTGACTTGCCCACAGAAGCCTTTGGGGCTGCAGGAAATCCTCAGTCTGAAGAGAAGTTGTACCTCGTCCTGGAGGGAGGAACAGCAGCACAGCCTCGCTTACCTTCCGTGCAAACTCCGGCAGAATGAAAGCTGCCCGATGGATGTCAGAGTTGTAGTATTTCAGACTCCTCTCCTCTACTTGCTGCTGTGAGAGCTGCTGCACAGGCTCCCGGAAATTCGTGTTCTGCAGAAGAGAAGTCAGGTAGCTCTGGAGTGTTTGGGCAGCGAGCAAAGGGCTGGGTGACAGGCACCCAGATACATGGCACAGAACCAAGAGGATGCGCAGCAAACAGATGATTTTCTGTTCTAATACAAGGTCAAAGGTTCTGCACAGCTCCAGTCCCCAGGGCTGGGTTTACACTCTGTACCTCTTGTGACTAGCCCTTATTCACAGTGTCAGTGCATGAGGTCAGACTGCATGCGAGTCATGTGCCAGATGAAGCTGTCAGACTGTGCCTCAGCATCTAAGCAGCAAGGCTTTTGCTTTTTGCAGCAGAATGCACGTCTGTGCTAAATCAGGCACCGTGCATGCTGCCAGTGCCCTGATAAACCACACACATTGGTGTAGGGAGCACTGCTGCTGTGGCAGTTGCATTACAGACTTGCTGTAATGCAGTAGACTGGGAAGAGAGCAGATCTCAGTGGTGTGACACAGAGCTACAACCCCACATCCTAACACTGACTCGCTTGGACCTCTGCATGAGATTACCAGTCACAAGCCAATTCTTATCAAGCAGGTGCTGCTTTATAACAGCCAGCATCAATAAGCCAAAGCCTTAACAGGCTCTGGAAACTGGCAGCGGCTTCCTCCCTTCCAAGTTTGTTGTACTAAAGAGACAATAATGTCCTTTTCTAAGGCAACTAGTTACAGTACTGGTAAGTAAGTACTGGTCAGTTCTGCACTTCATGCAGCACTGAGCAAGCTGTACTGCAGCTCTGAGGCCCTGGGCTGGCAGAAGCAGGGCCCAGCATGACTCTAGTGGCCCCTCAGCTGGGAGAGCTCAGAGCTGCAGCTCAGGTTCTGTAAGGGACGGCCTGAGGCAGGCTCTGTGTGTGCTTTCAGGGAGTGGAAAAGGGCACTTGAGGTGCCTGGAACTCACCGGGTTCTTGCTGCAGAGCATGAAGCCAATCTGCCCGCTGGGATACGTGGGGATGGTGCAATAGGCGTATTCCACCACAGGGAACAGAGACTTGCAGAACTGACGCATCTCCTTAATGAGATCCAGGTGCAGCCACTGGCACTCACCTACAGGGAGAACGGAAGATGGGATGTGAGGTGAGAGCTGCCCCTCTTCTCTGCACAGGCCTGGGCCCGGTTAGCAGCGGTTCCAAGTCCAAACCTGCTCTGCTCTGCACAGCTCATGTGGGTTCAAAGGCAAGATAACACCCTTACGCCAGATTTACTAAGTGCAGTCCAGCAGTTAATGAGCTGATGTATCCAGATCAAAACGCTCCTGTACTTGGGAGCTGAAATGGACCTCACTGCCTGCATCTGCGTCCCCTTTGTGTCTCAATGCAATGATCTGGTATCAGCCTCTGCCCAGAGGCATCCTCACCTTGGCAGCAAAGAATCCCATCTTCTCGCAGGGCTGTCTTCATCAGCTGGTAGTAAGACTCTTTGAATAAGCTTTCTGCAGGACCTGGGAGAAAAGCGAGTGAAGAGGTATGTTGAGAGAGACACTAACACAGTGGGCTTCTGAGAGTTTTCTGAATGCCACCAGGGACTGCCCTGGAAAAGAGGTGTTTCAAATGGCTTTTCAGTGATCACAAATGTTGAAGATAATCTGGAAGCAAAAAGTTTTGCCCCTGGGTGAACCCCAGCCTCCACCTAGCACAGCACATCCATCAGGATTTTAGCTTTGCTCAATAGCAAGCCCAGGACCTTTATCAAAGACAGTCCTAGCAGCTGCCTCTAGCTTCAGTGAGCTCTTTTTAAACTGAGCTCCTGCTCCGAACTGCCTTTTAGAGATGCCTCTTCCTGTGTTGACTATATCAACAGTAAAGGTGACTTGGGTGCTCATTGTTAGGCTCCTAAAATGAGATGCTGTAACTAGACTTGGTCCTTCTCTACCTCAGTTTCGCCCCTTCAGAAACACAGCAACCTCACGACAGTCATCTTTAGGTGAGGTAGATACATCAACAGCACATGAGCCACTGCTTCATTAGCGGGCACATGTGCAAAGCTGTCCCCCTCCATGAGATTCCTGGATTCGAGAATCAACTCTTTGCCAGAAGCAATAACTGCTGGAGTTAAATTTGAGGAGAGAAACAGGACAGCTGCCTGAAGCCTTGCTAATACAATTTTCTGGTCTTCACCCTTTCCTTTCTCTACCAAAAGAACTGACCCAGTGAGAATCTTTTCGCTCGAAAGGGGCCTCGGCAGGCTGGCATTACTTCCAAGAGGTAGGCAGAGGAGAAAAGGAGGAAGAGTGTGGAGAGCAGTGCCCTTTTATGGCCAGAATTCTTACCCATGGGGTCAGACGAGTCCGTGATAATCACATCAAAGGCTTCTTGATTTTGTTTCATGAACTCAAAACCATCTCCCACGTGCAAGGTTAGCTTTGCACTGGAATACCCCACTGCCATCCCTGGGAGGTACTTCTTAGATACCTGGATCACATCCTGCAACACAGACAACACAAGGGGGTCAGCAGGGGCTACAAGGAGCTACTTCTCAGGCTACTGTGCAGCTGCAAGAACAGCACAATGAGTCATTTCCTTCCATGCCTTCAGCACAAACCTGACTCGCTAGCGAGATCCTCAAGAGCTGTCAGCATCTTCAGCCAACAAGTTACACTCAGCCCTTTCCTATGGCCTCAGGGTTCAGTGACACTGTTGGTCTGTCCTTGCCAAACTCAACAAGATGAACTTGGAGCTTTAAAAGCTCCCCGAGGAACTAAGAGAATACAATTACAGATCTGACTGCTCTGTGCTCCTTTTCCCTGCAGACATTACTTGCAGAGGTGATCTCAGCTCAAGACTTCTCTTTTATTCTTCCTAAATTAAACCATTCCAGCAGGTTTCTAGATGCACGGTGAGAATTATCCCCACCTCTGCTCTACAGTCGTTGCATCACCCCCTTCAGTTATCAGCCACTGCCCTAGGCCCAGCAATCGCACTGAACATGACCAGCTTCTCACAGCTGGCGGAGACAAAAAAATATGCTGGTGTCAGGCAGTGCTGGTTCAAAACCAGGCACATATGGCTATTAGCTTGGCAGACAGAGCACAGAGTCTCACAGAGCAGCACTTCTCATTCTTAATACAGCCTTGCTTTGAGAAGACAGCAAAACTTTCTTAGGAAGTAAAGCATCAGAACAAACTGACCTAGAAGAGGAGGAGGATGAGCCTGTCTATCACAGAAACAAATACCCCTCACTTATTTCCAGCTTTCAGTCACAGCAGACTGCTTAACAAAGTGACCATCCTCTGGCAGGAGCAGCACTCTGCTCTGCACTGTCGGAGAGGGAAAAGCAGCAGCTTCGCAGCGCCAGAGCTCTCCTTCTCCAGATCCCGTGCCTGGCCCACGCTGGCCTGGGAGAGCCTGTGCTGTGCGTGTGTGAAAGAAAGCCCATGAAAGAGGCAGCCAGCTGCCACGTAGATGACTCGTAAGGCAAAGAGGTGGCGCTGTCAGTGTCATGCCAGCAGCACAGGCAGCAAGCGAACGCTGCTGACAAGGGACAGCAGGTGAAGCAGCAGCTCTGGGGATGCTGTGAAGCGGGGCTGCTGTTTGCTGGGCAGCCCACCCGTCCGACCGAAGCCCCCGGGCACCTCCTCGCAGCCCAACGCACCTCATCGATCTCGCACTGCACCACGGACTCCACGGTCGGGTGTTTCACCACCTCTCGCAGCACTCCCCCGTCGCCGCCACCGATGATCAGCACCTGGGAGAGGAGAGGGCAGAGAACCGGCCATCAGCGGGGTGGGCTCACGGGGGAAACTTTCACGGCGTGGCCTAAAGAGAACGGCCTAAACCCAGCAGCCCTGTGGGCTCGTCCCGCCCCGGCGCTCGGAGATGGATGTGCTGCGGGGCCCACGCT